TTTCGATTACGAGTACTCGCCCAGTGGCTAACTATGGCTTCTTCTGATCCAATCATGTGATCAAAGAAGGGCAATTCAACGATTATGCGGCCGTCGATGCTCTATAACCCAATCAAGGTCCACAACCTGCTATCAAGCTTGTATTATCTCCCCACTACGAGTCTTGGTCTCTCATTAGATCTGATATTGTGTAGCAGGCCAACAACCGTGGGCGAAGGTATGCTGCATCGAACGAAGCTCGAGGTAACACAGTCGTGCGTCTGTGGATTGACCACCTTGGGGGACCGAATGACTGCCACCTTCTTTCATATACATTGCCACCAAGCCGAAACTCCTCGCTTCCAAACTAGCCTCGGGCGACAAACGTGATGAAAGCTGATCTATCCTCATTGCTCATTTCACATGACGCTTCTGTTTGCTGTATCCAATGACTTCATGGCTCCCCCTAGAACCGAGTGAAGGGAAGCCTAATCATTAATGTCAGTTTTCACGTTCATAGCCATGGAACGTCAAGTATAAGAAGCGAGCAAATTGTACATACCATTTGCCCTTGAGGGTGATGACAACCCACGGGCTCCCAGCCTCATCAATCTCCTTTTCGACCTTTGTGTTGAAGCAAATCGCACTCATGATGCCGTCGCCAAACTTCTCGTTCATGACAGCCTTGTAGGCGTACCCGTAGTTTTGCACAATCTCGTACAGGCGGTAGATGAGCGGCTCGACAGGCGGCATGGGCCCGGCTCGGCCGCGGTCGGGGTAGTTGTTCAGCTGCTTCAGGTTCGCGGCCTGGATTCCGAGGAGCTCAGACAGCTTCTGGACGTCCTCTTCCGAGGCCTGTACCTGACCATAGAAGATGCCCGCAATGGCAACTTCGCTGCGGCCGAGATGCTTGGCGATTTCCTCAAACGTAAGCCCAGCTGACGCCTTCGCGTCAAAGAGGACCTGGGAATGAGGCGGCAGACGATCCGCCATGGAGGGCTAGTTGGTTCTTAATCAGTGATCGTGGAGCTTCGTCGCCGTTGTAGTTCAACATTCCCATTCGACCCTGTTACTCACATCGAGACTTGCGAGCTGTCCAGACATTGTGAAAGATAGGCTGAAGTGTTGATAGTGGAATTGTGGGTGATGGAAACAATGCCAAGGATAGGGTTCGGAAGAGAGTTCGTCTAATCGAGATACGATGAGCTGAGATGAGATGAGATAAGGGAAGATATCGAATTTGAGTCCTTGTATGTGGAACTATGTATGATTGAATCAAAGGGGGAAATGTCGACGAACGCCAGCCTTAAATCTTCAAGACGTGCTATTGCGGGCGGGCATTTCATCCGGACGTCATGCATTCAGATCGTCCATGGATATTGCGGGGTCGTGAGCTAAGAGAACCATCAGTCTAAGATGCGTCGTCCTGTTCGCCGTTGCCGAGGCCTCCCCGCCGGAGAAAACACGGTATTTCGGCTTCAAAGGCAAAAACCGATGCACCACAAATCGCCTGCAAATCCCGACCAGATATGATGACTAATAGTCCTTGTATTCTAGTAACTTTTATCTACTTAACCAAGGTATCCGGGCAAAGCCCGTTCCGGCACACACGGCGGTGGCCGGGAGGAAGATTGCGAAGCCATCGCACCCGAGTCTTGGCACGGATCGGAATCGGTCAGCTCGGCGGTTATCGCCCGGCCCGCTCTGTAAACGGCGTTGACTGCAATGCAACTTGCGCCAACCCATTCATTGTACGTATGTTGCTACTCCATCAACGTCCCGCATGTTCCTTTTCTCCGTGTACAATAACTTTGCCACGTAAACACCTTCTAGTAATGGGCACGTCCGAAAATTTTCTAAGTGTACTATTTGGTGTAGACAAGGCGACTCCAAGTAGCCGTATGTGAAGGACGTTCTCGGAGAAGTCGTCCTACCCGAGAAAGGAGTTAATCTGACAACGTTGTACATCGATTTTGGGTAGTTTTGTGCGATGGCCCATGGGCCGGCCTTGAATAGGAGATCGGTAGTGGTTGTGGTGTTTATATCGTATTCTCCCAGCATCGAGTGTCTCAGCTCTCGAGAAGCGACACGCCAATATGAGCAGGGAGAGTGCTCCCGCCAACATTCCAGATATTGTCGACCGGCAAGCGTGGCTCTGACTCCGAAGAGGGGGTTGTGCCTCTGGAGGAGCTCACGCTGTTATGCGTTGTCATAATTGGTAGCGGTTTGGTGATTTGGTTCTGTGTACACCATTGTGCACAAGCCCTATCCGGTTAGGCTGGTATCGTGGAGTTGCCGGTTAGCCGTTTCCACCCCTTGAGATCCCACTCTCTCCTGGCGCCTTTCAGATCGTCCACATTTAGGATATCAACGCCCTCTTGAACAAGCACATCCCATACGTGGTTTCTGATACTGATTGGCCATGCTGGGAGATCCCAGTACCGGACCATTAAGCCGCGAGAATGGGCTTCTTTGATTTGCGCTCTCAGTTTCCCCATTTGGCCCTTTGACAGGTCACCAAACCAAACGGTGCCGAGCGCCTTCTTGAACGATACGCTCGTGTAGAAGGAGTTGGTAAGATCGAAGTTGTGACGGTCTAGGTTCAGGAGGGGAGCGTCGAAGAACGTGTCCCTGTAGGTCGTGTTTTCGACGACCATACCGAAAGGAGTGTTGCCTGTCCCGACGACGGTGATGGGCCCATAGTGGACTTTGCCATCGATGACTTTGCTCAGCCAGCCTCGCTCTCGCAAGGGCTCCAACTGACGGACCACCTCCGGCCAAGTCTCCGGGCCGCTCGTCTTCAAATCCACCAAGAGAACCATGGTTTGATCCGGGCTTGCCTCATAAATGCCCCGAGGCGATTCCTGTGTGATGTTTCCGAGGTCCGCGTTCCGTCGCTCAAGCAGACGAACGAGGGGGTCTATGTAGAGACTCGTGAAGGTGTTCTTCTGACGCAGAGACCACTTGTTGTGGCCAACGAATAACTCGGTGTCCATGAGCCACACGTCTGCCTCAATGCCAATGCATCCTGCCTGGAGAGCGTCATAGATGGGCCTTTTTCTCCAGTAGTCATTATGAGAGTGGCATGGAATCGGCTCAACGATGCTCGCGCTTTCAAACTGCCCAGATGCCGTATCCCAGACCTCGCGGGCTACGAATAGTACCAGGTTCAGAAGGACAAATATCAAGCTAAGATCCAAAGTTAGCCGGGGAATCAAATATTGCGCCGTTCGCAACACTTACAGCATGGCTAACCAAACAGCGCCGCACATGATGAAGGAACGTTTCCGTGTCCATGGTTTCGGTATCATGTAGGCAGGAGGGAGTAATCCATCTTCGGAAGTAAAACTCTCAGCTGGTGTTGGCGGGACTTCGATTCCGCCTTCACTTGCGGTGTCTGCTTCCTCGGGAGAGTCTCTGTAGCGAGGTATCGTGTTGCTGTTTCGGGACCAAAATTGACGGAAGCGATCACGCACGGCGTCGATGCTGGCGCTCTTTGTAGTAGACATTCTCGAATAGGTCTGATATTCCAGCTAATATGATCGGACAATGGGTCGGAGACAGAGGCGCCTGATCAGAGAGAAGGCAAGAAGAAGAGGCCGTCGGATGGTTGCTCTTTATCTCTAGAGCATATCGTGGTAAAGTACGAGGGTTCGTAGACTGTAAGTCTGGGCTGCGGCAGTGCTATTGTACGGCAAGCCGTTTCCAAGTCCGTCAGGCAGGCTGTGCGGCACTTCGAGGTAGGAGGCCAGATAAGTATGTAGTATGAGGTACTGGCAGTGGTGGAAGGGAGGTGCACAAAGAGGAAACCAACAAAGGCAAGGGCGAATAAGTCTAGATGTTTGCGGACGAGGCAAAGAGTGAAGAACTGCGGGAGAGAGACACCAAATATAGCGGGATGTGTGAAAGTGGTTGTTGGCTTGGCTTGCTGCCTGCTTTAAGAGGGGGACACTGGAGCTAAAGATCACCGCAAGGTGAAGGTAGGTAATAAGGTCGGGTACCTCAGGGCGAGGTAAGGACAGGGCGAAATGGGGTAGGGATATAAAGGTTAAAACGGCAAGTAGATCCGAGCATGGTTAGGGATGGATGCTGGGGTAGGGACGGCGGTTGAGAACAGACTTTGGGAAGAGCTGAGAGGGTCTGAGAGCAAGATGAAGAGACAGCGAGGCACGTTGGAAAGTCGGAGGAACGGGGGCTAGGGGAAGGAGGAGAATGAGAGAGAGTCAGTGAGCTGAATGAGGGCGTGAGTGAGCGACAGAGAGCAAACGGACAAGACGCTGTGCTGTGGATGGGACACGGGTCTAGTGTCTAGCATATGGTTCCAGAAGATGTGATGTCTCCAGTTGTGTAGTGGCATCTACGGCGGCAGCAGCAACAATGCAGCAGTAGCGATACATGGATTCCATGCTAGACACTACAAGCTAAGGTACTTGGTTGGGGAGAAGGGGGACTAATGCTAGTCAGTGGGCGGCGTATTCAAGCATTTCCAAGTCATCCATGTCCTGTCCTGTTCCACGTCCGTAAAAGGGACTAAGACTAAGAAAGTCTATCAGGAGCTTAGCTAGCCCCAAGACGGTGGGGGGCGCGGGACCCGAGGGAGTGTTTCTGGCGCCTGTTTTGTTTGTGTTTGTTACCCTGGCGAAGGGGGGTGTTGGTTCAGGCCCAGGATCAATCAGTGTAACGAAGAATAAATGTGATTATGGGCTTCAGGGACAACGGTATCTGAATGTGTGGATCGTCTTGGCCAGGCAGCAGAGATATGTATCGTGTCATGGCGGTGGTTGTATGCACGGTCAGAGGCCACGAAACAAGCATAGTCATTCATTGTGTCCACGACGAGTGACGACGACAACGACGACAGTCATGCCATGGAGAATAGACAGGGCAAGAAAGTGAGGCCAAGAAAAAAGGAAGAGAGAGAGAGAGAGAGACAGAGAGAGGGTGTGTGTGTGTGAGACTATTCTCAGGTCTGGGGTCAAGTGTCGAACGTCAACCATGGAAGTAGCGCGTCGAGGTAGCGCATGGGCGATGACTCTGTGACCAGTGGAAAGGCGCACCAAGGTCCCATTGTCGTTAGTCGCAAAACAAGAGGCCAACAACTAAGGTTATTCGGCATGCCTCTCTCAAACCAAACCTGTCGTGTCGGAATGCCTCAGTCGAATGGCGAAAGAGAGTCGACGAGGGTCTGGCCGACGGGGAAATCCCTGCACTCTGGCGTTCCCGAGGTCCAGGTACCTCGTAGTTGCTTCCGGCCCCCTCCTGGAGTCAGGTACTTTGACCAGACCCTGAGACCCCTCATCCCAGCCGCTTTCCTCGACACTTCTTGCCTCTGCGGGTGAGGCACAAGGGAAACATGAGGTGCCAAGGAAAAGTCAGTGCGGAAAGTTCAGAGAGTATCGAGGATGAAAAGAAAAAGAACGAGGTACACTACTTGGAGATTGGTTGGAGACTGGTTGGAGGCTTGGCATGGGAGACAGCTACGGTCCTACAGCTGAAAGGAACGAAAAAAGAATTTGGGAAAGAGAGCGAAGGAGTACCGGCCATGGATCTCCAATCCAGTCCAGCAGCTGCGCCTTCTGCTACCAGTACGGACATCTCAGTGGTCAATGACCGTCGTGCAAAGCTGCCCGCTGTGGCCACCGATGGACACAAGGTACCTTGGGTAGGTCCTTGGTGGAGCGCCTAAGCATCCAAGGCACTTCATTAACCATTTTCATACGGTGCATACGAAGTATCTTGTACCTATCGATAGGCGGCGTAGATACTTGCCTCCGTGGAGAAGTCATGTTCCCCGCCGTGGCATCTCCCCGCAGATGGATACCTACATTGAAGTTTGAACCCAGTCAAGCAAGTCGCAGGAACACCGCACGCTGCACCTCGCGAGAGTAAGACTGGACGGACTTTCGCTTCCTCAACTCTGAGATGGTCCGTGCTAAGCCAGTACCGGCTTTGAGACGGCGTGCTCCATGTTCTGGGCTCTCGAATCCCTCTCTCCCAATCATGCCAACATCCCTCCTTCTCGTTTTTTCTTTCTGCCTCTCATCTGGTATGCCGCCTCTACCTACACAATACTCAATACGTAGGTACCTTGCTACTCCTCTTCTCGCGCCTTTGCCTTACAGGCCATACTCTTTCAAGCATGTGGCGCAGCTCATAGGCGGATTAACTTCCATTCAAGCGACCATGAGAAACCAGCTAGTAACATTAAATCCCTCTCGCACTCCCGGCCTTGATGGTGTACTATCTATGTCACGCGCATCATTCATACCTTAATATGCTTAGATAGAGCACCAGCCCCCAGTGCCGTTTCCGAGAGGGTTCCTGCCTATGTGCGGTCTGAGGAGTCCGCGCTCGTCCTAGACTGGACCAGACTGCACGAGGTAACTACCTTAGGTATCCCCACAAAATCATGGCCCTCCACCAGGTTCAAGGCCAGCCTAGAACGACCTATTACAAATGCCCTCGTTTCCTCGTGGACCACCTTGGTTCATGGCATCCCGCCGACTTGCCAGCCAGCTTACATGTGGATTCAACTCCAAGGCAGGGCAGCGTGGCGCCCGGGAAGCTTCTTGCGTGCTTGTTTGTGTACGGATAAGAACTTCGGCCGCCGCACTTTGAGCCGAAGGCGAGGCGTTTTGACCAAGTCTAGCTGCGATCTGTCAATACTCCGTTCCGTATCTCAGCCACACCAAAATAGATACACGCTCGTGTCAGCCATGCGCCCATCGCGGCATCGCCCCAGAGCGTGACTGATCGGGACATTTCCATGGGTCGCGCGGACGGCGGCACGTCCGAGCCTCCGTTTCCCGCCCAAAACCAGAAACAACAGCCATCCATCCATCAGCCATGGCCATGCTTGCACGAAGTGTTTCTGACTTGACCGTGATTATGGGCTGACTGATTGACTGACTGACTGATGAACACCCACCGACTGATGCCGACATCAAGCCGGGAAAAAGTATGGAAAAAAAAAAGGCATTTGGTAGAAAGCTCAGCGCAATCGTCTACGTACGCAACTCATCAGCCGTCGATACTGAGACACGTCCGAAAACGACTGGAAGTGTCACATAATCAGACGGCCAGTAATTGAGTTTGTTCTCCTCACTCAACCACACCTCGACATCTCCGACACGCGAAACACGCCTTTCTCCGAGTCTGAAGTCTGAAGTCTGAATCCTAGAGTCCGTCGGGCTTGCTCTGTGGGACGGACTCGGGTGCAAATACCTCACCTCGTTCCCCTACAGTTGCTTTCGCCAACCGGGGACGTAGCAGTTGTGCCAGCCACCTTGCAATTACCGCCTCATGTTGATCTGGTCTATGGCATAGCACGTCTTCGCCCCCTTCCGCTACCATTTGCCTGGTCATGGCGGCGCCTCTGTCACCGCTGCACTTCTCCGTCAACATGAGGTGCTCATCACTGTGGCATCATCCATCGAGACGGCAATGAAGGAGGAACACTGTCCATGCATGCCCATGCGTGCGACAAGCCTGGTTCTCATCAAAAGGGATGTTCTAGTACACTTCCCATAAGAAGCGTACTCCATTGATAAACACGATCATCTCACTGGAGAAAACAAGCTCTGGATTCCAACGTGCTTCGGCCTAGATGGCGGCTCCAGGTCCCACCATCCTTCTGAGTCGCTTATCTGGTAGGTATATTCGGTGAGCTCCGCACCACATTTTCTCCGTGGGTAAGGTGATCGATTGTATTGGCAGAGGCTTTGCACTGTTGGTTGTTTGAGTCTCTCTACAATGACTTGACAACCACTTGCTTGGCAGGGAAAAAAAATCAATTTACAGATGATCAGCGAAGCATGCAGGGCGGGTACCTCAACCTCGAGCAAAGTTTTTGTACCTATGACCAGGTGAAGCCAGCCCATGTGCTGCAGAACTGTCATTGATCAGGTGCCAAGATGCCAGATTGTGGGATTCCCGCGTGTGATCTGTCCAAGGTGGACCGGCCCTAGGGGCTTTCCGACGTGGAGACCCCTGCAGCTGCAGCACGGTACGTTCCTCCATTGCCACGACAGGGCGTTGGTTTCATGAGGTGGAGCGGGGGTTACCCCCAAAGAATGTGCCTCACTTCTTATCAGACGACCACTTGTTATCGTCGCTGACATAATACAAAATTTTCCATCACTCCCGTCCCTGAGTCGCGAATCATCCCGCCTCACCTGCAATTACGAAACCTTGAAGTAGAGGGGAACGTGTTTCTGTACTGAATCGCTCAACAAGTCATCCATTCAAGTCAGTCGCAATGCCTCACAAACATACCAGGAGGGAACAGGATCCCTCAGCGTAAGTTTCAACCGCCTGAGATGCCGTTGTGGCATACACTAACCGGCTTCATGCAGATTTGATCTCCCCCCATCACAAATCGCGAGGCCGCTTCCCGTTCAGCTGCGAAGTCGAAAAGCTTTAGCCAATAATGCGAAAAACACCAAGAACGGCAAGAATGGCAAAATCCAAAAGACAGAGAATGATGGCGTCTCCAAGAAGAGAAAAGGTCGCAGCAATGATGACGATGCTCCGAGAGCTTTCAAGCGCATCATGTCGTTGGCGTCGGGCAGGAGACAACGATCTGGTCTAGATAATGGCGAGACGGTGGCCCAAAAGAAGAAGGCAGCTAAGAAAGCTGCGGCAGCCGCGCAGAGCGAGACCAAGGCTGAGGAGACTGGGAAGCCCGAGATGCCCACGATCAGGCCGGGTGAGAAGATGTCCGATTTCGCTGCCCGCGTCAACGCAGCCCTACCCCTGGCCAACCTTGTCAACAAGACTGAAAGGGGCGGAAAAGATCCTCTCGGTCTCAAGACCGTCAGGACGCGGAAAGAGAAGAAGATGCACAAGCTATATGACCAGTGGCGTGAGGAAGAGCGCAAGATTCAAGAGAAGAGAGAAGAGGAGCTCGAAGAGATCGCCGAACGCGAGCTAGATGAAGAGATCAACGGCGGTACCTTTGGCAATTTCGGACAGACCTCAAAGGCCTTCTACGAACCTGGGCAGGACAAGAAGAAGGGTAAAAAGGGGAAGAAGAGTAAGGGCGCAGACCGCGAAGAAGATCCTTGGGCGGTGCTCAAGAAGATGCGTGCCGAGGCCAAAGTAGGGCTCCATGATGTCGCGCAGGCTCCGCCAGAACTTCACAAGGCCGGCAGAGATAAGCTGTTGGTCCGTGGTGCGGCCGTTGATGTCTCCAACGTGCCAAAATCCGCTGGTAGCCTGAGAAGGCGTGAAGAGCTCCAGGAAACCAGAGAGGCATTCCTTGTGGCTTACAGAAAACAGCAGGAGGAAAAGTTGGCTAAGCTTGCCGTGACGAGATCTCGAGATACCCAAAACTAGCAGTAACAAAAGCCTGTCTTTGAAGACACCGATGAAAACCTAGAGTCACTTTGATTTAATTATCTACCTCATATCTTGTCTACTTGAGATGTGACACGAGACGAGATATCCAGTCCATACCTCCGGCCCTCTTGCCCTCAAGGTTATCCAAGAACTGAAGGCCAAATTACGGACTACGTCCGTGCGAATCAGATATCATGCCATGATCACGTGCAGTGGAAGTAACAGTAGCTATTGTCTCGTCCACAGCCACCACAGCCACCTGGACGATGCTGCACCTAAGGTACGTATCCCACCATGACGGCGGGGTTCCCGACGCGGCCAGACTCAAGCGGTTTCCTTCCCCTCCACTTTCCAGATCTTTGGCCGACTCAAACGTAGCGGGGGAAAACCAACCGGAATCTGGAAGGAATTTTCGACCAACCGCATACGCCAACCCAGGCATCTTGGGTTCGATTTTCCATCGTCGACCTTCGCCGTCAATATCCGCATGACTTTTTCTATGCGGCTTTCGTTCACCTGATAATGACAACCCCCAAAAAGGAGGCACAATGTCCCGCGACCTCGAGCGACTGATAGAGTCAGTCATCACTGACATCTCATGTTATGGTGACTTGGGTGAGAGAACCTGCCCTGCACGCTCATGAGAACGAGGATTCTCGGCTTCTTGTTCATCACTTCCAAATTATCATTCTACTTACAGTTTACGCAATTACACTGAGATGGCTGGCATTCGACTATGTCCCCCCACCAGTCGTGCGTTTAAAAACTTTTTGGCTTGGAAAACTTTCTAGCTGGCGCATCTCACTGACAAGCGGTTAATAGGATGCACTGTACTGCATGTACTCGATTCACTCGGGACTTTTTACAAGGACACCCGACCCAGGCAAGATGCACCAGCAGAACCCTCTCAGTCAACAGACGAGGAATCCAACCAGTTACTGTGGTCTACAGCCTGGGACTGGCTGAGAGTGAGGAAGGACGTCTCCGTCGGACCGAATCG